AGCATTGACTCTTGGATCCCGCCTTTCGAGCATCGGTTGTTTACAGCAATGACTCCTGTCCCATTTCCGTATCATACCTGGTTTTAAAATTATGAATAGTATTTGCTTCCACAACCTGTTCCTGAAGTGCATTCCATTTTCCCACTACTCTCACGCTAAAAGAAAACTTCCTAACATCTCTGTGACTCATCTGAGTTTCAAGCTTCCATCCATGTCCCCTTGTTCTGTTACGATTCCGTGTGAACATTTCGTCTATGTCCAGTCTGTCAATCCCTCTGAGTATCTTATACGTTCCTATCATGTCCCCCCTCTCCCTTCTTCTTTCTAGTGTCGTAAGGCACAGTTCCCTCAGGCGCTCCTCATACCCCATCCCTCGTAGCTCTGGGACGAGTCTCGTTGCAAACCTCTCAACCTTTTCCAGTTACATTATATGCTTCTTCAGATGGGGACTCCATGATGAGGCGGCATACTCTAAGACTGGCCTCACGTAGGCAGTGTAAAGCGCCCTAAATGCCTCCTTACTTAAGTTTATGAATGATGTTCTAACTTTTGCCAGTGTAGAGTACACTGCTGTCGTTATCCTATTTATATGTGCCTCAGGAGATAGATTATGTGTTACGTCCACCCCCAGGTCTCTTTCGCGCGTCGTCACAGGTAAGCTGTTCCCCTTCATTGTGTACTGTCCCTTTGGTCTCCTATCTCCTAGTCTCATTTCCATAACTTTACATTTGCTCGTGTTGAATTCCAGTAGCCATTTCTCTGACCATCTCTGCAACCTGTTCAGGTCCTCTTGGAGGATCCTGCAATCCTCATCTGTCACAACTCTTCTTACCAACATTGCGTCATCCGCAAACATCGACATGTAGGACTCTACGCCTGTAAACATGTCGTTAACATATACAAGAAATAGAATTGGTCCCAGCACCGATCCTTGTGGTACTCCACTTGTTACTGTTCGCCAGTCCGACTTCACTCCCCTTACCGTAACTCTTTGGCTTCTTCCTGTTAGGTAGTTCCTTATCCATGCTAGGACCTTTCCCCCCCACCCCCGTCTGCCTCTCGAGCTTGAACAGCAGTCTCATGTGCGGTACTGTATCAAAGGCTTTTTGGCAGTCCAGAAATATGCAGTCTGCCCAACCATCTCTGTCCTGTCTTATCCTCGTTATTTTATCATAGAATTCCAGAAGGTTTGTTAGGCACAATTTCCCTGTCCAGAACCCATGTTGATGTTTGTTCACAAACCTAATGTTCTCCAGGTGTGCAACCAGTCGCAGCCTAATTATTCTTTCCAGTATTTTACAGGGGATGCTTGTCAGTGATACAGGTCTATAGTTAAGTGCCTCCTCCCTATCACCTTTCTTAAAGATCAGCACGACATTTGCCTCCTTCCAGCAACTGGGCAATTCTCCCGACATAAGTGACTCATTAGAGATCATTGCCAGAGGCACGCTGAGGGCCTGCGCTGCTTCTTTTAGTATCCACGGTGATACTTTGTCTGGTCCAACTGCTTTAGTTGCATCTAGAGTTGTCAACTGTTTCATTACCTCCTCTGCTGTCACCTCTATATCTGATAGTCTTTCATCTAGGGTAACCCCTTCCAACAATGGGAGTGTGTGTGTGTGTGTGTGTTTCCCTTTATCTATTTGCGCCTGCAGGATCGGCCTTCAGAAACTGGAACCCGCATTTCTTGTCGTAGGTTATACAGTCAATTGGCTTCTGTTGCCTTCTTCCCTGGTTTGTGTCGGTGGGTGACACTTCTCTGTCCCCTGATGCATGCCCACATCAACTAGAAGATAATATTTATCATACACATCACCTGCGTGTAGACCACCGTCTTGATGATGGAAAAACCCTAAATAATATTGAGTTTTTGTATTAATATTTTAGACAAAACTCAAGATGTAGGACAATTACAAATTCTTGAAGCCTTTCAAGTCGAAGAACCCACTATAAATGCTCAAATAACAGAACTATTCACTCGGCCCACCGTGGGAGTGAGAGCACGTCTGGAACGCGAACACGCCAACGATAGCATCACTGCCCTAAACGTCATGCCCACTACGGTCACCTGAGTTCTTATCACCTGACTACTCTCTTAATGTTTAGTTCATTGACCCATGCATCTTACCTTTACTCCTTAGCTTAGCCTTTCCCCTCACCTAATTGTATGTGCCTAACCTCCCCTGGTATAAATACTATATTCTATATATATATATATATATATATATATATATATATATATATATATATATATATATATATATATATATATATATATATATATATATATATATATGCGAACAAGCCTGAATGGTCCCCAGGACAATATGCAACTGAAAACTCACACCCCAGAAGTGACTCGAACCCATACTCCCAGAAGCAACGCAACTGGTATGTACAAGACGCCTTAATCCACTTGACCATCACGACCGGACATAATGAGGTGATAGCCGAGGCTATTTGAACCACCCCACCGCCGGCACTCGGATAGTAATCTTGGGCATAGCATTTTACCAAATCACCTCATTCTTTGGGGCACACGTGAGGAACACAAATGCGAACAAGCCTGAATGGTCCCCAGGACAATATGCAACTGAAAACTCACACCCCAGAAGTGACTCGAACCCATACTCCCAGAAGCAACGCAACTGGTATGTACAAGACGCCTTAATCCACTTGACCATCACGACCGGACATAATGAGGTGATAGCCGAGGCTATTTGAACCACCCCACCGCCGGCACTCGGATAGTAATCTTGGGCATAGCATTTTACCAAATCACCTCATTCTTTGGGGCACACGTGAGGAACACAAATGCGAACAAGCCTGAATGGTCCCCAGGACAATATGCAACTGAAAACTCACACCCCAGAAGTGACTCGAACCCATACTCCCAGAAGCAACGCAACTGGTATGTACAAGACGCCTTAATCCACTTGACCATCACGACCGGACATAATGAGGTGATAGCCGAGGCTATTTGAACCACCCCACCGCCGGCACTCGGATAGTAATCTTGGGCATAGCATTTTACCAAATCACCTCATTCTTTGGGGCACACGTGAGGAACACAAATGCGAACAAGCCTGAATGGTCCCCAGGACAATATGCAACTGAAAACTCACACCCCAGAAGTGACTCGAACCCATACTCCCAGAAGCAACGCAACTGGTATGTACAAGACGCCTTAATCCACTTGACCATCACGACTGGACATAATGAGGTGATAGCCGAGGCTATTTGAACCACCCCACCGCCGGCACTCGGATAGTAATCTTGGGCATAGCATTTTACCAAATCACCTCATTCTTTGGGGCACACGTGAGGAACACAAATGCGAACAAGCCTGAATGGTCCCCAGGACAATATGCAACTGAAAACTCACACCCCAGAAGTGACTCGAACCCATACTCCCAGAAGCAACGCAACTGGTATGTACAAGACGCCTTAATCCACTTGACCATCACGACCGGACTAAAGTCTTTGAAAATGTAATAAGTTTTACAAAACGCGCTCAAGTGTCGCGTCAGACTAGAAATAAAAATGAATTTTGGAGAATTGATTTTTGAATTACCTCCAACAGTGAAAAGAAATGTACGAAAGATTGAGAAAATTCGTGTTAGAATTATTAATCTTACTTTTTCGGTCATATTTAATAATATATATATATATATATATATATATATATATATATATATATATATATATATATATATATATATATATTCCTCTTTGGCCACTTGGTCAACTGTTATGTAGACAATAAATAACGTCAGTACTTAAATAATTATTATTCTATGATGTTAAGCTGGCAAGAATGGATACAGTGTTACTATGTTACTATGGATACAACACTCCCTCTTGGTGAATGAGTGCATTGTATCATTATAATATACATGGTGTACGTGCATGTGTGTTACCTACCCCGCCTATGTCACCGCCTACAACTGGTCCTGTTGAAACTATTGAAACTGTTTCCAAGCCCTTGGTCATTCGGAACACCTGGCGCTCATTAATTATTCACTTTCAGCATCGCTTTTATTTTTCATTGTGATGCTCAACTGGTCCCCAAGGCATCTCTATCATTATATATCTAGGTATTTTTAAACTCTTTTTATGTAGTCTATTCACCTGGGCTCTAGCAGACTCGAACCGTGGATCTCCTTTATATAACAGTCATAATGTTATCACAGTATTGGTATTAAACATTTTGTTATTTAACATTTTGCTATAAAACATTTTGTTATTAACTATTGTTTTATTTATATTTGAATCAGCTTTTTCTTAATATCTTAAAGAACCAATGTGGAGATGACCTTACCTTGTGATCTCCACAATTCTCCCCCCCCCCCCAGCAGGCCCAGATATGACTCACCTCTGCTCCCCCCCCCCCCCCCCGAGCAGGCCCAGATATGACTCACCTCTGCCCCCCCCCCCAGCAGGCCCAGATATGACTCACCTCTGCTCCCCCCCCCCAGCAGGCCCAGATATGACTCACCTCTGCCCCCCCCCCCCCCCAGCAGGCCCAGATATGTCTCACCTCTGCCCCCCCCCCAAGCAGGCCCAGATATGTCTCACCTCTGCCCCCCCCCCCCCAGCAGGCCCAGATATGTCTCACCTCTGCCCCCCCCCCCAGCAGGCCCAGATATGACTCACCTCTGCTCCCCCCCCCAGCAGGCCCAGATATGACTCACCTCTGCCCCCCCCCCAGCAGGCCCAGATATGTCTCACCTCTGCCCCCCCCCCCCCCAGCAGGCCCAGATATGTCTCACCTCTGCCCCCCCCCCCCAGCAGGCCCAGATATGTCTCACCTCTGCCCCCCCCCCCCAGCAGGCCCAGATATGTCTCACCTCTGCCCCCCCCCCCCAGCAGGCCCAGATATGTCTCACCTCTGCCCCCCCCCCCAGCAGGCCCAGATATGTCTCACCTCTGCCCCCCCCCCAGCAGGCCCAGATATGTCTCACCTCTGCCCCCCCCCAGCAGGCCCAGATATGTCTCACCTCTGCTCCTGGAAATCTTTACGTTCTCTCATGACTTCCCACGCTGACCGGCCGTCACACAGCGCGTTCTGCTTCGTGGGGGCTTCTCTGTTGTGGGTGTGGGCGTCACAGAACTTGGTCACCTGTGGGAAGAGCGAGAGTTGTGATGATGGCGTGTGTGGGGCGTGAATGCCTCCACCCTTCCCAAATGATTCCAGTGATTGATCAAGATTAAGCCACCCAAAAGGTTGCGCGGGCATGAATAGCCCGTGATATTCCAGTTTTTAAATGTTCTCTGATATAAGGGGCGTTCGAGGTATTTTTGTCGCAGGTGACGTGAGTATGTAGCTTAGCTCTTTGACGTGTGTAAAGTTTCTGCAAACATGTGTTCTGTGTTTTAGTTGCATGGCTAACCTTGGAAGGGGGTTAAAGTCATTTAAACACTAATTTTGTGGTGCAATATTTTATAGCTACAGGGCTGGTAGGGACGGGAGAGTTTGAAAAATGCTCAATATCGCCGTGGCTTTTTGAGAAAATGGTCGCTCCATTATGTTTTTCATGCGTGAAGTGGGAACGATTTATCTCCAGGTAAGAGACTGGGAGCTACACACCAGTGCCGGATTTTCCTCCTGCTGTGTTGGTAATAAATCTAATGATATATATATATATATATGATTAGATCCTCTATGTGTTCTTTGAAACTTATGTGGAGGAGTTCATTTATCGCAGCCCAAAGTTAATTTGTATATGTTAATTATTGCATTATACAAGTCATTTAATGTCTTACCTGAAGGAGGTGTGGAAGTGCCAGGAGGGATGAGGTAGCATTCCTGTGAGCTTCGGGCGGCCAGGTACAGTGGTGGGCGTGGTCAGGGTGGCAGGCAGGAGGGCCGACACGGGCGTCAGTACACACGGTGGCCGCCCATCGCGGGCCCTCCCTATACCAGGGTAAGTACAGCTGGTCTCCTGGGTATCCAGCCTCCGAGAACAGTCCCCAGCGATACTTGGCCCACTCTCCTACCAGCACACTGGCGGCCCGAGCGGCGTGGTCAGCGGAGGTGTTGGCCGCCTCCAGAAACCCGACTCCGAACTGGATGAAGTCTCCTTGCTGGCCACAGCCTCCGCTCTGTTGCGTCCAGGGCGCGTCCCCGAACACCGGGTGCGGCGAGGCCACCTTCAGGTGCGGGGTTTGGGTGGGCGGAGGTGGCGGGTCACCAGAGATGGGCGGGTGGCAGGCGCGGATGGACCAGTGGGCCGGCAGGACCACAATGGCAGACCTGAGGTAGGCTACGCCCTCTGTGGCCAAGTGTAGCGCTCGAGACCACGCATTCAACACCGTCTGTAAGGAAGAAATTCCAACATTATTGTACCTGTATTGTACCTGTATTGTACCTATATTGTGACTGTATTGTACCTATATTGGATATTGTTCCACGAAGTAAAAGGGTGTAGTCATAATGACCTATATGTCATACGTGGAAATCTTAGGATGGTGAACATCGTTCCTTGAAAAGTAAAGGAAAATTTTTCAACTACGGAAGCGTACATTATATTTACTCTTCAATATTTTTAATTAAAGGAATATGTACACAGACAGGTATATCCCACTTGTCGGTGTATATATACACTGAGGATTAATTTAGTCCTAAGCAATGTTCTGGACAAGAGTATACATGCTGATTAGTCAGCAAGCTCTAGCGGAGTCCTTAATAACGATCCTGCGGTTGACTGACCTTAAAAGGAACAATGGAGCCTGGAAATTACAATCGGAGTAACAGGAGGAGGAGGAAGAGGAGGAAATAGAGTAGTTGACAATAACCCACGAAACACAGAGCATACTGAGATGGGTTGGGCATGTTGACTGAATGAATAATGGTAAACAAGTGAAGAGCGAGTATCATGTGCATTTCAGGGAAGAAGGAGAGGAACAAGGCCTGGAAAAAGATGGGTGGATGACAGGCGTATGTAAGGTAGCACTGAACGAGTCGTTTAAATGTTTATGTATAATGCACGGGATCTACCTGTGTATAACGGTGGGTGAGAGCAGTTTGTGAGACGGGAGTAGATGCAGCCAACACCCCCAGTCCACCACCAGTCAAAAATCCGTGGTTTAATAGGGAATGTATGAAAGCAAAGGAGCTGAACAAAAGAGCATGGAGGAACTTCCGTAATAACAGAACACCAGAAAGTAGAGAGAGATACCAGAGAACCAGGAACGAATATGTTAGTGTGAGAAGAGCAGCTGAGAAAAGGTATGAAAATGATATAGCTAATAAAACCAAAACCGAACCAAAGCTACTACACAGTCACATCAGGAGGAAGACAACAGTGAAGGAACAGGTGATGAAACTTAGGGTGGGCGAGGACAGGTACACAGAGAATGACAAAGAGGTGTGTGAAGAACTCAACAAAAGGTTCCAGGAGGACTTTACAATAGAACAGGGAGAAGTCACGGCGCTAGGAGAGGTGGCAGCAAACCAGGTGACCTTGGAAAGGTTCGAAATTACAAGAGATGAGGTCAAGAAGCACCTATTGGAGCTGGATGTGAGAAAAGCTGTTGGGCCAGATGGAATCTCACCATGGGTATTGAAAGAGTGTGCAGGAGCACTTTGCTTGCCACTCTCCATAGTGTATAGTAGGTCACTGGAAGCGGGAGACCTACCAGAAGTATGGAAGACTGCTAATGTAGTACCAATATTTAAAAAGGGTGACAGACAAGAGGCACTGAACTACAGGCCAGTGTCCTTAACTTGTATACCATGCAAGGTGATGGAGAAGATTGTGAGAAAAAAACTAGTAACACATCTGGAGAGAAGAGACTTCGTGACAACCCATCAACATGGGTTCAGGGAGGGTAAATCTTGCCTTACAGGCTTGATAGAATTCTATGATCAGGTGACAAAGATTAAGCAAGAAAGAGAAGGATGGGCGGACTGCATTTTTTTGGACTGTCGGAAAGCCTTTGACACAGTACCTCATGAAAGGTTGATGCATGAGCTGGAGAAAAAGGCAGGAGTAACTGGTAGGGCGCTCCAGTGGATAAGGGAGTACCTAAGCAATAGGAAGCAGAGAGTTATAGTGAGGGGTGAGACCTCCGATTGGCGTGAAGTCACCAGTGGAGTCCCACAGGGCTCTGTGCTTGGACCTATCCTGTTTCTGATATACGTAAATGATCTCCCAGAGGGTATAGACTCATTTCTCTCAATGTTTGCTGACGATGCCAAAATTATGAGAAGGATTAAGACAGAGGAGGACAGCTTGAGGCTTCAAGAAGACCTGGACAAGCTGCAGGAATGGTCGAACAAATGGATGTTAGAGTTTAACCCAAGCAAATGTTATGTAATGAAGATAGGGGTAGGAAGCAGGAGACCAGATACAAGGTATCACTTGGGAGATGAAATACTTCAAGAGTCAGAGAGAAAGACCTGGGGGTTGATATCACGCCAGACCTGTCCCCTGAAGCTCATATCAAGAGGATAACATCAGCAGCATATGCCAGGTTGGCTAACATAAGAACGGCCTTTAGAAACTTGTGTAAGGAATCTTTCAGAACATTATATACCACATATGTCAGACCAATCCTGGAGTATGCGGCTCCAGCATGGAGTCCATATCTAGTCAAGCATAAGACTAAACTGGAAAAGGTTCAAAGGTTTGCCACCAGACTAGTACCCGAGCTGAGAGGTATGAGCTACGAGGAGAGACTACGGGAATTGAACCTCACTTCGTTGGAAGACAGAAGAGTTAGGGGGGACATGATCACCACATTCAAGATTCTCAAGGAAATCGACAGGGTTGATAAAGACAGGCTATTTAACACAAGGGGCACACGCACTAGGGGACACAGGTGGAAACTGAGTGCCCAAATGAGCCACAGAGATATTAGAAAGAACTTTTTTAGTGTCAGAGTGGTTGACAAATGGAATGCATTAGGAAGCAATGTGGTGGAGGCTGACTCCATACACAGTTTCAAGTGTAGATATGATAGAGCCCAATAGGCTCAGGAACCTGTACACCTGTTGATTGACGGTTGAGAGGCGGGACCAAAGAGCCAGAGCTCAACCCCTGCAAGCACAACTAGGTGAGTACAACTAGGTGAGTACAGGCATTAGGAAGTGATGTGGTGGAGGCTGACTCCATACTCAGTTTCAAGTGTAGATATGATAGAGCCCATTAGGCTCAGGAATCTGTACACCAGTTGATTGACGGTTGAGAGGCAGGACCAAAGAGCCAGAGCTCAACCCCCGCAAACACAACTAGGTGAGCACAGGTGCAGCCAACACCACCAGTGTAGCACAGGTGCAGTCAACAGCACCAGTGTAGCACAGGTGCAGCCAACAGCACCAGTGTAGCAAAGGTGCAGCCAACACCACCAGTGTAACACAAGTGTTATTGACTCCTTGTAAACGGCGAAAATGTTTCTTTCTCTATGATGAAGCTGTGGCGTGACAGGCCAGAGCCCCGGCCTAGAACACCTGCCGTACACCCTTCGATGTACGTGAGACTAATCATGATCGTCCAGCCCGCACTCCTCAGGTTCCCCAACGTCAAGGAACTGTCGTACTAAAGTGCCCTTATCCTAACCTACCAGTGGACCCAAAACAGAAAACGCGACATTTTGCAGATAAAAAGTCACAATAACGTGGCTGAAAAATGTTGACCAAGCCACACACTAGAAATTGAAGAGACGACGACGTCTCGGTCCATCCTGGACCATTATAGAATTGAAAAGGGTCCAGGACAGACTTGATAATGGTCCAGGACTTGGTAATGATCCAGGATTTGATAATGGTCCAGGACGGATTTGATAATGATCCAGGACTTGATAATGGTCCAGGACGGAATTGATAATGGTCCAGGACGGATTTGATAATGATCCAGGACTTGATAATGGTCCAGGACGGATTTGATAATGATCCAGGACTTGATAATGGTTCAGGACGGACCGAAACGTCGTCGTCTCTTCAATTTCTAGTGTGTGGTTTGGTCATCACAGTATGTAAATTTCGCAAGCCGCTTCTTTTTTCTAGTTCGACAACTTTTGGCCTTAGGTAGCTTAAACATCACAATGAGACGTTCTGTTTGGATTGGCACAGGATGTTGGCTCATGACGGGTTGGCTCGTGACGGGTTGGCTCGTGACGGGTTGACTCGTGACGAGTTGCTCGGGACAGGATGTCCGAGTTCTTTTGTGAAAGAAAGCAGCTAAACTTCGCCCTTCCTAAATAAGTTGGTGACTCTGACGATCTCGCCAGTCTTGTGAGAGAGCAGGACACACCTGACCTCGAAGCCTGGAGTCGGTCCCAGTCACCCTGACAACCATCATTTTTGTATTTCACTACCAATCTCATGGAGCCTTACTCTAGTAGCACTGGTATATTGCTACACTTTCATAGAGGACAAAATACACAATTGATACATAAAATCATTATATGAGAGCTAGACATATATATGTATTTCCTTTTATCTATCCCGCTCTGTGTGTAAGTGATTTTTCGATACTGTATCATCTACACCTTAACATTTACAGAATAACCTATTATATTTTATTGAAAAAGTAATCAATCAAATCAATAAATAATTAACATTTATGCCTCTAACCAGAAGGCTAAACTCATTACAAGTCGCTAAGCGGCACTAACGTTAACATGAACAGGGATTACAGCAAGCACGCTGTTGCAGCTGAGAGAATAAAATGAGATAAAATTAACAAATACGAACCAAATAAAACTGACAAACTCTCTGAACAGCAGACCCTGGAAAACGTCAACGAAGCCTATTAAAAAATATGAATAACCTGAAAACAAAAACAAATCCTGGAAATGAACAAACGAACCTTAAAAATGATAATGCTGCTTTAAAAGAAACGTCGAAGCCCCGAGAACACTACTACTCAGCCATGTAAGTTACATCGGAACAAGCAAAGGTACAGAAAAGAATGGTAATGAACAGCAATGCCAAAATAGGTGCACGAAATCCAGAAAATGAATAATAGAACCAAACAAGAAACTATGAAGTTTAGAAAGTCACACAAAAACTATGAAGGCAAGAAAAAAGGCTTGAAGGGAGGAATGAGGGAACAAAGAAACCTTGAAAGGAACGATGGCACATGGAAAGGAAGAGTAGGCCTTGCAAGCAACAACACAGACTGTGAAAGAAGGAAGAAGAGATCCTTCAAGCGAGCAACAGAGCTTGTAGAGTTACAACGAAGTCCTGATACGTATAACGGAGCCTAGAGAGATATAACAAAGTAGAGCAAAGAAACCTGGAAATAAAGGCCGAGCCTGGAAATAAACAAGTTTTCTTAGTATAATACAACGGATCCTGGAAAGATACAACA